ACCTGGTTGCGCTTGATAATGAACGCCTTGTTGAGGATCTTCATGGCGAAGACCTTGGAGTTGTCCTTCTTCCGGACGAGCGTGACCTTGCCGAACGAGCCTTTGCCGATGACCCGGATGAGCGAGAAGTCCTCGAGGCAGACGGCGCCGGGCGCATGGGCGTCCGGGATGAGGTCCTCGACCATGGCCTCGTACTCGGTAGTGCTGCTGCTGCTGGCCATGGGGCGGCGGCTTTGTGGCAACTCGAAATGCGCGGTGTGGGACCAAGGTCCGTCATAAAAAAGCCCGATGCGTCGTTAGCAACAAACGACATTATATGTCACGCTCCTTTTGTATTATATTACACACACATCTATGGACGCGTCCAGTGTATTGTATTATATTACAAGGTGGTTTTATGTGCAGCGTCAATAAAAATACACGCGGAGGACGATTGGTCACATGACACTATTTCCGTGGAAAGCGTACGACCGACGCGCCGCGGCTGCGCACGATACGCCGAGAGGGCGTAGTATGGATGGAAGGTACACATGTGTATGGATGATGGGCGGTATTGCCGTGGGCGGCGGGCGACCATCGGGCCGAAGCAGCGACTGGACAAAGTTGGTGTAAAATAGTGTGTGATAGTATCCGGATACATACGGATATGCAGGAGCATGTGCGTGGCAACAACCCCATGCGATCGTCAGGCGAGATGGAATCTTGGAGAAATATGCTCTGGTATCGAGCCTGAGCGATATAATGCGCGCGACGGTCGCTGTGGCCCGACGTGGCGTTCTGTGCTCGCTCAAACGACGGGATTATTCTGGCAACTAAATCCAATCTCGGCCTTCTGCCCCATGCAATATGAGCTGCCCACGGCCTTGACATGGTTTAAGTTGTCAACTTGTGCATGTCGGCTTTTCTACAAGTGTGCGATGGGCTGGGGATTTAGAAAGGATTGTAGACCGCCAAGGTTAATACGCTGGGGGCGAGGACTGTGCGTCCATATTCTGGATTGCGGGGCGTGGTGGTGGGCCACGTGATAGGAACGTGGTTTCTACTAATAGTAGGGTATGTACTGCTACTGTACTACGTAGTATTCAAAATGTTTCCACTTCGCTGATGAACAAGATAATTTGCGTTTGGATTCTTGGATCAGGGCCGTTTTTGATTCGTTGGATAAGTGGGAGGATTGATGTCCGACTATCCAATGCTCGTTCGCAAGGATAGTACGTTCAGTATCCGTCATCTTGCAGCATGCAATCCCTTCTTTACTCTGTTTGCGGGTTTGCCAACGATCGTTCTATCTGCAAGAATGACAGTTTGAGCGGTAGACAAGTTGTCCGAGTGGACTATCCATTTGCGTGACGGGTGGTGAATCGCATTGTGGAACCGTCGACCGGATCTTCAAGCGTCGATAGTATGGCGGCCCAGAAGGACGACAGCGCCCGGTCGCCGGAAGTGACGGCCGCCAAGGAGACGCCTGTGACGGCATGGGTCAAGAGCATCCAGAAGGAGAAGACAGACTATATGAACTTTGGTTCTTGCTCTCTCTCCCTTTCGCGGGACCCTCTCACTTTGAAAACTCGCTAGCTGCGTACAGCAAGGTGCAGCTCGAGCACGCCCTTCGCGCGTCCGACCACCTCGGCGTCCCCAACGGATTTCGAACGGCCATTTGTTTTGAGCTTCTCGGTGAACACTCTTGCTGCTGACGTCGTCGGTGGATACCTGCATGTAGAAAATGTGTCGACGCATTTTGAACGCTACAAGGACCTTTTGCGCGCCATTCTGCGCGAGTGCGAACAGAGCGTGTACGTGGACCCGGGCGCGGTCCAAGCGAAAATTGACGCCGGTGGCTCCGTGACGATGGCGGATTTTTTCGAGCTCCAGCCCTATTTCATCGAGCTCCAAGACACGCGAATCGAGCAAGCCCAGGTCAACGACGACATGTACGGAATTGTTGTCCATTTTCATATATTTTTTGCATTTATGCGAATAGTTTCCATTTTCCATTTTTTAATGTGGTTGTGTAGCTCGCTCCTCGATCGCAAGCACGGCTTTATGATGGACCAGCTCGCGACAAAGGAGTCGGTTTTGGACCGCGTCTCGGAACGCTGGGCGCGGACAATTCTGCTGCAGGTCGAATGAAGACACTCTGTACATTGTCTGTAATGGATATCTAATGGTTCCCACAGGCTTTTCACAATTGGCACAAGGTGGTCGCAGACAAGCGCAAAGTCCGGTCGTCCATGCAGAAAGCCATGGGCCGCTGGAAAAAGCGGTACGATCAACTATATGTTTTATGACAACTTGACCAACATTCTCAATGGTAAACTAGACATTTAACATTGGTCGTGCGCATGTGGCGTCAAGTCATTGTGTCGGAAAAGCAAATGGAAGCGCGCCGCCGTCTCTCGACCCTCACCGAGAGTGCGGACGACTGCAAGGACCTTCAGTTCAAGCTCGAGCTGGCGATCCGCACAGTCCGCGACGAAATTCAAGTGCTCAAGCAGTCGATTCAAAAGCACACACTGACGCAAACCGAGCTCCAAGCGACATTCGCGTCCTGTACGTTATCGTCTTGAATTGTGGACGCATTGTCCTCGACGCATCAAAAAAAGGTTTGACGATATGTGTAGTGATGGAGAGAGTGCTCAGTAGCCACGAACGGCAGCTACAAGAGCTTTCAAACGAATGGGGCCGTCTCTGCCTCGGCCTTGTACCCTCTTCATGCTACGAAAGGCTAGCATCCGACAATATTGTAGGTCGACGCACAACTGCTGCATTTGACCAACATGCTGGGTGCTGTGCCGTACGAGACCTTTGCCGACCCAACGCTGCTACTACGTCCACGCGACGATCGCGTCGACTTGCTCAAGGTCCCCGAAGACACCATTGTGCTCAAGTGGACGAGCCGACTGGTTCACGAGCAAATTCAGTTTCTCGCCAAAGTACCACCCTCTACGAATGCCAAATCGGCGGCGGAGATTGAGATTGAGCTCTCTCGCGTTCAAAACTTTACCACCGACATGAAGGTATAGAGAGTGTGGTCCATTTCATTTCGATTTTGGCACATTTTTATGCATGTCAATGGATGGATTAGGGACTGCAAGTGCTCCACACCGTGCTCAAGGTCCTGCGCCGCAAGGTACCCGAGACAAGCGAGCCCTGCAGTGACTCGGTCTTGGACCACCTTTGCTCGTGGCGCTGTCCCGACTACCTCGTGGAGCACATTGAGCATGCCTCCGAGGTAAGACTTAGTTCATGTTAGATGTGGATACTACACTGACATATGGCGTAGGGCATTGTCCCCAGCGATGTTATGTATTGCATTTTGAGCTACCTCTTTTGCGAAGTGCCTGCCAGCTTGCGTCCCCCGTGTGCCCTTGGCAGGAAGCGACTGCATCCTTGGACGAAGCCACGGCCGCGTGGGACGTTGTGCGAAGCGTACGCCATGCATATGACAATATTGACCATTGTTCAAACGACAATTTGAATGGTTTAGGGATGGCGCGAGCTCCAAACACCGTTTGATACGTCGATGCTCGTGGGCTTCACCCCCGATACGACCAACGTAGCCGCGATCGTCGCGGCCAACAATGCGCTGCAAAACGCCGTGCAAATGGTGCAGTACGGTGCGACACTTGATTCATGACAATATTGTCCACAAAACTACATTCAAAACGATGATAGCCTGCTCGGCGCGCGCGGCCAACCATCAGTTGTACACGGCACTGTCCAAGCGCATTCACACCAAGGCCATCGACGTGCTCCTCGTCCGCGTGCACAGTGACGCGCCGTTCGTCATGGCCAATCGGCGCGAAGCCCGCGAACGGGCGACGTATACAACGATCAAAAAAGAGACACTGAATGCAATTTTGCAGTCGGACGTGACAACCGAAGTGCCCAAGATCGAAGCCGTCTTGGGGGAACATTACGGTATATTGAAATTGAAATAGGAGACTCGACAACGTGTCCTATAGAGGATCTCCAGCGCATATTCGAATATTACGCAGCAAGCGACGTGGGGGATGCCGGGAGCATGTCTCTGGACGAATTTTACGGCTTTCTCAAAGATTGCAAGCTCATCTCCAAGTCACTCACGCTCGGTACCTGCGTCGCCTCCATGACCCCATTACAATAATTGAATCCTCTTCATTAGCCTATGTCAAGAAGATCTTTCACGACATCAACGAAGGCGACGTCGACACGGAACTCGTACAATTTTTGTCTTCATTTTGATTGACAACATACCGCATAGGACCCGTTTAACCCCGACATGGAATTCAACGCGAGCGAATTCATCCATGCCCTCGTGTGCGTGGCCGAGCGCCGGCTCGGTACAAAATGTACAACTTGTCCTTTCATGCTTGATAAATATCAATGTATCACGACGACGTATAGCGACGCCGTTGAGCCAGCGGGTGAAGCGCTGCTTGTCGGAGTTTGTGCTTGCGAATGCGTGCCGCGCGAGCATGGACGGCTTCCGGAACGAGATGAATGCGAGCGCGTGCAAGGCTGTGTTTCAGTTGCACCAAACGCTTCTCGAGCGGCTCTACAAGCAGTTTGCCTCGACCTCGGCCACTCTAAGTGCTGCGGATTTTGTCGTGTTTCTCGAGGTTGTCCTATTGTACATCTATAGATACAGCTATGGACACATTTGGATGGTTAGGAATGCCAGCTGCTGCCGCACGTGCTTTCGATAGGCGATGTTCAAAATATCCTTTCCAAAATCCAACAAGAAGACGATGTCCTCGAGGGCGGGGAGGCGCCGAGCCACAACAGCGCGCTCGAGGTACGACTATCCCTCAATTTCGCAACAGAAAGCGGACATATTGTCCGATCTAGTTGACGTTCACCGAATTCACCGAGGTGCGTTGAATGCTGGTTCTTTCAATATAGAATATATCGAGGTTAGGCGATCGGGGCCGTCGCATTGTACTACGACCCAAATGTGTTTACGCCCATTGCCACACGCCTCGATGCATTCATCGTCCTCCTTGGCACGTCTACCACCGCAGCTGCAGCTACATAGCCAATTCCAAGCAGTCGACGGTGTTCCAGCACCAAGTATGTCACGGCACAGGACGCAGAAAAGTCGTGGTGTCGACGAGAAAGATAGCTGGCTTCACAAAGCTCCATCTTCAAATGTACCCGAGAATCCTTCCGTCATGATGTTTCAGTTGTTCATGTGCCCATAAGTGGACGTGCTATGGAGATGAAGCGCGTGTTGGGAGCTGACGTCAGTCCAAGCCTAGTAACGCTGGAGGCAGTTTAGTCGACTTCTGAAGCTTATCTGTAGCGCAAGTGCTGTAGACATGTAGATAGGTTAGGATCGACGTGCTTTACCCACTCCCCTTTTAAACACCATCAATATACCGCTTCCAGCAGCGCTAGCCTTCATGATCAGTGACCGTCATCGAGAACACCTGCGTTGGAATGGGCTGCACTGCAGCGACGGGCGACAAATTTTAGTGAGGCGTGCATCTGCGTTTCGCGTTCACTCATCACGCCTGCCGCCGTCGTAGGTCGATAACACAGGTCGTACATGAGATCTTACGACGCCACTTTGAATATTCACCACCGGCATCAAAGCGGTAGAAGCAAATTTCGCCCGCCAGGTAGACGCGTACTATACAAGGTGGTCTAGCAACAACGATCCCGACGATCGGGTATAAATGTAAAGAACTACGACAGCAAACCAAGGGAGCGAAATGTTCTTATGCAGTGCCACCAACCTTTTTTGGCGGGTATTTCTTATTGAGAGATCTGATAGGGTAGTAATGCCTCTGCTTTTGCAAGTGCGCGCGAGAGAATCCGACGCCGTACTTCAACGAGGCCAGAGCTACTGCAAATGGGATCCACCTACTACGTTTACTACAGCACAATGCACGATGCGATGGCGACATGGATGCGTTGACCATATCCTGCCATGACGTGGCAGCATCCGCATATCATATGGTCGCTAGACGCGTGCGACGAAGCTGGCCAATCAAATGGTGTACAAGATAATAATTTAGCCAATCGTAGATCCGTATGCGCCAGGGTTGCAACCGTCCAAAATGGTGTTTGGTGCATCGCGACGACCCGTCCGCGAGATTAAAGGGACCTGGGATCACGGCTGCACAGCCCGCGATGTGCTGTCCACGAATCCCAGTACAGCATTCCGAACGTACTTTTCAGTACACTGTTCGTGATTGGGAGCTCAAAATTTCCTTGCCAAGGTACTCCTCGGAGCGTTTCTGGAGCCATTCCCACCTGGTCGTCCCGTCAACCCAGTCTTTAAACCCACGGGAAAGACGCTATGAGCCATCGCCAAACTGTAGGCTGTTCATTTTCCGATTTGCTCGCAACTCCATCAACGCCACCACCACGATTCCCATGCAGCTGCTCACGACGACTGCGCTCTTGGCCGCGATGGCCATGACCACGACCTACGCCCGGACCTGCGGCGCGCCCGAGTGGAACACTGATTTCTACGGCAGTGACATGTCCAACTTTGGCACCACCGGCGACTTTGGCAACATGCTCCAGCAGTGCTGCAACGCGTGCACGGCCAGCAGCACGTGCGTCGCCTACACGCTCGCCGACAACGTCTGCTACCTCAAGTCGGGCGCCGGCAGTCGCCAAGCCAAGACCGGCGCCACGTCCGTGCTCATGTCGGGCACGTCGCCGCCAGTGAGTACATGCAGTGCGCCGGAGATGAACATCGACTACTACGGCAACGATATCTCCAACGTGGCGGTCTCGGGCAACCAAGCCGACCAGCTCCAAGCGTGCTGCAACGCGTGCAGCAAGACCCGGTGGTGCACGGCGTTCTCGGTGGCCAACGGCGTGTGCTACCTCAAGTCGTCGGACGCTGGGCGCAAGGCATCGCCAGGCGTGGTCTCGGCCAAGACGACATATGTGACGACGACACCGACGCCTACTCCGACGCCGGCGGGCAACCGCACCTGCGGCGCACCCAAATGGAACACCGACTACTACGGCAATGACATCTTCAACTATATAGCGACCGGCGACTTCGGCACCATGCTCAAGCAGTGCTGTGAAGGCTGCAAGGGAACGCCCTCTTGCGGCGCATACACGCTCGCGAACAACGTCTGCTACCTTAAGACCATCGCGCTCTCGCCCCGGACTGTCAACGGCGCGACGTCCGTGATCGTGCCGCCAGTGCCAGGCACGGAAGTCCGCTACTGCAGCAGCCCCGAAGTCAACTACGACTACTTCGGCAACGACATTGTCATCTTCAAGGCGACAGTCGATGGGGACGCGATGCTTAGCCAGTGCTGCGAGAAATGCTTGAAGGACAGTCGGTGCAACGCGTACGTCTTGTTTGAAGGGTTTTGCTACCTCAAGTCGACAACGGGGATTCGCTCGAGCAAGGTCGGCGCGATGGCCGCGTCCATGGCTACCATCACGTGGTAAGACAATATATACCAACCGGCTGGAAAGTACTAGGACGGTTTTTTGCATGTTTTTGCTCGTTTGGCATAACTTTAATGGGATTTTATAGCTTTTTTTGGACCAATCGCTGCCACGAGGTTGAGAGGTTTTAGTGGGTCTGTCTAGACGGGACCTAGTACAGTGCTGCGGAAGATCATGCGATCATCTCTCGCAGGCATCGTGCTGCTTCAGTATCATGCGCACGAGGGACATCCTTGTAGAGAATGGCAATCGTCCATGGACTTGGCAGCGGTAGGTCGGCGCGAAAGATGCGATCGTTCCGGACTCGCCAGACGTTGACACAGGCGCGGAGCACGGACCAGAGGTAGCGGAACGCGGCTTGGTGCATGTTGGGGGCACGTGTGGCGCACCGGTCTGGAACACCGACTACTACGGCAACGACATCTCCAACTTTGTTGCGACCGGCGAGTTTGGCACCATGCTCAAGCAGTGCTGCGACGGTTGCAAAGCTACTTGCAGCGCGTACACACTCGTGTGGTAATGCCGTGGCAGCCGGACAGCGATTTTTACAACAATTACTGTAGAGTCAGAATCAGGGTCCACATTATACTTTATCAAAACAGAGTGCTATCTGGATACGCGTGCTCGAGTGTAAGCTTAGGCCGGGATCGTCGTCGTCGTGACGATGGTTGCCGTCGCGCCGTTCTTGGCCACCGGGTTGGTGGACGCCGACTTGAGGTAGCAGAAATCTTCAAAGAGCACGTACGCGTTGCAGTCCAGCAGCTTCTTGCACGCATCACAGCACTGGCCGCGCATCGTGTTGAAGTCGCCCGTCGCCTTAAAGTTGACCATGTCGTTGCCAGGGTAGTCGGTGTTGTACTTGACGCCAAAGCACTCGCGGACAATCACCCGCGACGGTGTCGGCGTCGGCGTGACCGACGTCGCCGATACGACCGCGGACGTGGCACCGTGGACCCATGTGCGGTTGCCAGCAGCGGTCTTGAGGTAGCAGACCTGGCCGAAGAGCGTGTACGCGCCGCAGCTGGGCTTGGCCTTGCAACCGTCGCAGCACTGCTTGAACATGTCGTTGACCGAGCCAGACGTGGGAAAGTTGGAGATGTCGTTGCCGTAAAAGTCAGTATTGTACTCGGGCGCGCCGCAGGTGCGGTTGCCCGCCGGCGTCGGCGTCGGCGTCGGAGTAGGCGTCGGTGTCGTCGTCACATATGTCGTCTTGGCCGAGACCACGCCTGGCGATCCCTTGGGCCCAGCGTCCGACGACTTGAGGTAGCACACGCCG